AGAGCAATTGCTGAGAGAATTAAAGAAATCAGGAGTGAGTTTAAAATGTGACATTTTTATTTTTAGAGTCAGTTTTAACTCTTCATGAATGTTATGATTGTGTAATGGTAGCGTAAAAATGATGTTGTAGCCATCTCACATGATGGTGTAATAACTTTCACTCGAGACTCTTAAATACTTTATATTTAATATATTACAAATATCGATTGACTTTTTTTATTATTTTAAGATCAGTTTAATTAAATCTTTGGATGGAAGTGGTAGACTGTACTGAAAATACTGTTACTTTTCAAGTGACTCTTTTTACCTAAAGGGACTGGTTTTTCCCCCTACGTCTTATACCTCTCAAAATAATTACATCATTCACTGATGGCCACTGGTAGTTAGCAGGAATTAGTGATTGACTCAAAACCAATGTGTAAAATGAAAATGTTATTCCCTGTTTGTTTGGTGTCTTGTTGTCTTTGCCTGTTTTGGTGCGATTTGGTTTTCAAACCAAAAACAGTATGTTCTGAGATTAAAGAGGATAATTGAAAAGGTATTTAATTTTCCTGTGCCTCTTATTTTAAAAAGGTCTTCAAAAAGGCCAGGCATGCTAAGGTATACCTTTTATCACCTGGGATTTTGCTTTTAGTTTGAGCTCTGCTACTGTATGTATAATATGCTTTGCAATGCTTGCAAAGGAAACACCGCCGTTAGCAAAAGGGTGAAACTGACTGTATATTAGATATGTCAAATACATAAAATAAATTGAAAAAGGATATGTGTGGGAAAATCATTGGTATCCTAATAATCACTAGTACCAGTCCTAATAATTCTATAGGCAACTCAGAACAAAACAATAGCAGAGACCAGTTTTTAAACAGGAAATATCATTTTGACAACAATGTTCCTTCTTAAATATAGGTTTTCCTTCCTTGTGTATGTTGAATACAACTTCCATGTTTCCAGATTTATAGTCTGGACAATAAAAGTTTTATTAACAATAAAAAGGTATTCTGTATTGCGGTACAGGCTAGAAAAATACAAATTGATATCTAGACTCTGAATAGATGCAGGCGTATTGGAAGTGTCCAAGATGGCATAAAACTAAATTTTGACATTATCCTGTTCCTTAAGACAGAAGAAACTTTTAATAACTGCACTCATAATTAGATCAAATATTCATCACCCAAGTGACAGATGTGTGACACCTTATGTGGAGTCTTTCTGTCACTTTACAAACGCTCAAGTATTTGTGAGTGTGATTTTCATGGTGGCTGAGCTCACCTTTCTCTCAAATATAATGGAGTTTTTTTTATAGAGGACTTGTGACCTCAGAGAACTTTCTTGAACTTTAAATGACTAGTGAGGCATGATGCCTTCAGAGTATATGAAAGGGCAAAAGTGAATAAACATGAAATCAAAGACTGGCAATTCTAATTTGAGGGACTGGATTTAAAATTGAAGCAAAACCAATTCAGTAGAAGCCTAGCTTTTTATGTACAAATCCTGGCAGTAGGAGAGGCTAATTTCAGGATGGTATGGATGTGCAACATGGTTACATCTGGATTGCTGGCAGTGTTCCTCATAACAAAATGCTTTTCTTTGGTTTTAGTGGTTGTATGACATATCGTTTAAATCTCAGCCTAAGCAAGCATTTTACAAGAAAATGATAGGCTTATGAAAAAGGAGGTCTGACTGTGCCCCAAAATAAACTTAAAATTTTTAGCAACTGCTTTTATGATAACAGTTGCACTCTGAGGTCAAGAGCAACTATGGTCTATCTGATCAGATTGCAGAATTGGGATGGAAAAAATTGTGGCCAAGAGCCAAGTCTGAGTGAATGCAAATGTTGTTCTAAAGGGTTTTACTGTATGTTGCTGACACCACATGACCAGGATAATCGGGTATTGTTAACTTCATGGAATGCAGTTGAAGCATTCGAGTAAACACACACTTTTCTGAAGCTGTGTGAGATACAGGAGACTTAGACCCTCATCATGGGGAGAAAAATAGTGTGAAGTTTCTCTTATGTTAAGTACATTCTTAAAAGGTATGCTGACAATTTCCATTTTTTTATTTTTTACTCCAGAGCTGTTCCCTTACACACATTTTAGGACTGTCAAATTTTTAGAGATGATGTAATCCTTTTGAGATTACATGGTTCTAATCTTTTCAAAACATTCTCTAATGCTAGTTTTTCAAGGGTAAAATTATTTTAAATTGCAGTTGTGCTTTCAGGAATGACTATGTATAAACTGGACCAACTTACTCAGCAATTTTTTTCCTGTGTGTATTCAGCCTTAACTGCTGGAGTAGAGCAGTTTGAAAAATACTGCTACTTTCACTGTGATCAGCCATGCAGAAGCACCACAGAAATGAGCGAGAGAGATTTTGCTTTTGCGTGCCAGAATTGCACCAGACATAACTAAGAGATCAACTTTTTTCTTAGTAGAATCATCTCATTATATTCTAATATAAGATCATTGCATTTGTTAGAATCCAGATAGAACATGGCTTGGCTTTCAGATTCTAAGTCTAGTTTTTCAGCTCTGGCTGTTAGAAATATTCACTTTTTTCCCCTCAGGGTGGAAAATCACTTCATTTTTTGCATGTGAGCTGAACAATTTTAACATAAAATGAATGGTAAAAATTAAAATAGCCTGTTTTCCTAACTTATTTCAGAATTTAACTGCACTTCAAAAATGTCTGGCCATCATCTTAACATTTGTTTTTGGAGTTGCTTGTTTTAAGATCTGTAATAAAAGACAACCTTTGCTTACAGGACAGTTGTTTCTGCTGGAGGTAAAGCTAAATATCAAGGTTGTGAACATTTGCACACCAATTCCAGTATATAGCTGGCTTTTGTTCCAGTCTTTCTATATTCCTGGGAGGAGGCTAGAAGAGGGCCTACCCTAATGCATGACATCTTCCACCGGACTGTGGGAGTTGTCAAAAATTCCTGAAAAATTTATTTTCAGGTACTAGGGTCCACAGTGAGCCTTTCACTGATATGTCAGGTTTTTTTTCAATCCTTTTGTGGTATAACTCTTATACCCACAGAGGGTGATCTTACAAAGTCTGTGCTAGAGAAACACTGAGGAGAAATAACTGCTAAATAAGAAGAGGCCTTTTGTAATCTGCCTTGACAGGGGGGAACAGATAAAAGGGACCTAAGGCAGGGTAAGGAAGTAAAAATGCTTGAGGTAGCCTAGACTATGCAATTGCATAGTGTTTGTGCATGGGAGAAAGACAAAGTATGAATGTAACTAGAGCATCATAACTTTGTATGTATGTTACTTCCCTTTTCTGTCTACTCTATCTCCAGTTGGTTGGGGAAGGGTCTCCTGTTTTTTATGCCTGTTTTGCACATTTTGAGCAGTATTGTAATAACTGACAGGCGTAGTTAGCCTATATGTCTTACAGATGTAGAAACCAGAAAACCTGACTTGTGCAAAATGACATAAAACTTTCTCTACTTCTTGGTCCCTAAAAACACTTAGAATTGCAAAAGTTGAGTATAATTAAAAACAAAAATATTTCTCTTCTATAATAGTTGCCTGTGCAGATTGATTGTTTCTAAGACATTTAAAAAGAGGATATTGCAGTAATTAAACTGATTGGGTTTAGAACTGAGTAACACTTGAAAAGAATATAGCCGCTTGCTCAGCCAGGTGCGGATTAAGATTCATCGGGACCACCCCTGACTTGTGCCTTGACCCGTAGTTGTGGGCTCAGTCCCTAGCTGGCTCAGCGGGAGCAGGGGCCAGAGTGGGATGCACTGCCCCCTCCAGGCATGGAGCAGGAGCTATGGCTACCCCTGCCTGCAGGTCCGCACTGTAGCCAGAGCCTGGGACCGGTTGCCTAGGACCCCTCACAACATTGCCCTGTGGCCAGGCAGTGCTAGAGGTGCAGAACTGCTTGGTGTGTGCGCCATAGACCGAGCTATGGTGGCAGCCTCTTTCCCTGCTGTGGCTCAGTCCAGTTGCAGCGGTGCCCACCAAACACGCAGGATTGTGGCTGGGCTGGGCCAGGACCTGGCTGCACTGGGGCTACAAAGTCCTCACCGTACACCACGTCTAGTTCTGGTCCCTGTTGCCTCCGGTACCAGCTGCTTCCAAGGCTTTGGTGTGGTTGAACCCCATGCCCCACCTGTACCTGGCAGCCACAGGATGCCGTGTCATACGTGCCTAGTCTGGCCTGGCTGCCAGTTTAATTTGCACCAGGCTGCCCCTGCCTGCCTCCTCCCCCCCAGGCATTCGGGGGCTCCTGTTTGGCAGGGGCCCATTGGCCCGGGCCCAGCTGGCCCATGCGTTAATCTACCTATGCCTTGAGTTTTTGAAGGAAAGCACTGCAAGAGCAGTTCACCCAGAAGTTTTCCTCCTTATACAGAAACCAAATAATTGACACCTGTCGCTGAATATTACAGTCATTATACTGTAGTTCCACTGGCCCATGGACTTGGGAAAGGTAAAATTTGGGAAATTATTCCTCTCTTTAGAAGAAACTTTTGTACCCTTTTAGGCTTTTCTTAATATGAAGTGTTGCCAGTTTAATCTTTCTTGACTTGCAACAAGGATATACGTCGTAGGTATAAAGCATTTTAGAAACCTGAGAATAGGAGAGGTGACAAAATATCTCTTGAACATGTGAATGGATGTTTGAGGTGGAAGGAAAAACTTCCAGCAGGAATGAGTTTGCCTGCTTGTCAGATTCTTTGAAGTCAAAATATCTGCCTTGTAGCACATAGAGCTCAAATATTATAAGAACCCAATTTTAGCATATTTAAATTATGGGATTGTGCCTATTTAGAAAGTCCTTATACTGGCAAAATACCTATTTTAATTCAATGGGTGTTGCATTTAATAAAGGTCAGAGTTCTCTATTAAAAAAGGTGTAGTTGTAACTACTTAATAGTGGAAATCAGACTTTCTAACAAACATGTAAAATAAAGATGATTAAGCAAAATAAAGTTTGCATATGTATATAATATCTCTTTTTTTTTTCTAACAGGAAGTAACGGATAGTTCCCAACCATGGAGGATGGAAAACCTGTTTGGGCTCCACACCCAACTGATGGGTTTCAGATGGGCACAATTGTGGATATTGGCCCTGACACCTTAACTATTGAACCTTTAAACCAGAAGGGAAAGGTGAGTTTCTCAAAGTGATTTAGATCATAAGAAATTCTTTTTCTTGTAGGCTAGAACTGCATTGCACATAGTGTATATAGAGTACAATACTGGGAGTTGCTTAAATTCTTAGCTTTATCTCTAACTCGCTGTTTAAACTAAATGAATTTCTCTAGTTCAGCATACTCTCATTGACTTCCAATATGAAGGAACATACAGTTCTTGTCAGAAAGGTGAGAGGTAATTATGAGAGAGATACCAAATTTTGAACCTGCACAGTTGAAGATCAGAAAAGTTAAACAGCTAGTAGGATGCAAGTCTTTTCTTCTTCCAGTTTAGCAAGACCTGAATGCTAAGAAAGAAAAATGAAGCCTGTGAAAAAACATTCACTATAGAGATGCTGACAGAAAATTGATAGTTGAAAAATAAGAATCAGGGTGAAAGGAAACTCATTTTTTAAGTTAAAAAATTGTAGCTAGTTGAATCTCATTTTATCTTATCTTTTTAAATAGCTTAAAAGGTAGCAATGGTCTCAAATCATAGTAAGTTCCTTGGGTTACATCTTTGCTATGGGCCCTTCACCCTTAATGCCTTTTATCCTGTTTTCAATAGTAAGTTGGATTCTTCATCTTGATCTGTTCTAACTTGAGTATGTTTAAACTGCTTGGGTTGCCATAGCATCTTTCATATCCGGTAGCCCTAAAGCAAACATTGATTTTTTTTTTTTTATTTTTATTTTTTCCCTTTTTTCTTTTTTTTTTTGGTGACAGTGCATACTTTGACCTTTAATCTCCATGTTTTCTTAGTTTGGACAGGACGTTGGGGTTTTTTGTTGGTACTGTTTTGTGGGAGATACTTTTTTTTTTTCCTTTAACAGTTTACTGTCTGAAGTACAGTGGGCAGCTGTGTACTAATTTGTTTAGGTTTGGACATTTTCTGATTGCTTAAGATATGTGCCACTTTCAAGAGTTCATCCATGTTATAACTGAATTTACACAAATGGAGAAATTCCTTATTTGCTTAACCAACTTGTTCATGGTGACAATTGTAGGGAATTCTTAATAACAGATCAGGAGGTGGAAGAACAGATCGTCCTGAATTTAACCATTGCGTATTTCTCTTCTGGGGGACCTGGGTTTATGGTTTGTGAAGAAACTTGAATAGGAAGCTAGTGATCTTTCCTCCAAAATAAAGTTTTGTGTTGTTTGTTTTTTGTTAAGATCCTCAGATCAGTGCTTTACAAGGCTTCAGCTGGGAAGCAGAACCAGATCTTTTGGGGAGCAATGTACTGAATGTTGTGAAACTATGCTTAGTGCATCTGTAACTGACCTAAGCCAGTTGTGCAGAAGCTCCGGCCTGCTCATGTGATTCAACATGTGAGAATTTGTCATCCGGTCCATGAGGCTTCCCACAAGTCTAGAAATTTTGTAGTGGAAGAGGTGTGGCAGTATTAATTGCTGTGGCTTCCAAAACTGCAGCAGTATGACGCTGCCACTGCTTCCCTGCCTCCAAAATCCCAGACCCACGGAGTCCCGTGGACCAGATGACATAGCTTTGCATGCTGGATCACACTGGTGGATGGGATCTCTTGTGGTTCAATCTAGTGGGGGAGGGTTGCTTCATAGCTGGATCCAGCATGGAGCTCTGCTGGCAGACCAGACTGCACCCACAAGCCACTGCTGCACGCCAACGCCATGGTGGATCCAGCCTGTGGACTGACCCTACCCACAGGATCTAGCATATGGGGCTATATGTTTGAGCACTGTTGATCTAAAAGAACTCTAGCTGTATATCCTTTCTCATGCACCTTCAGTAAGGGCAACAAAGGTTTTTCCTGTCAAACTCAAAAGCCTGGAGACGTACTGGCTGTCCTTTCCAGCTGCTGTAGCAGATCACTATGTCCTGATACTGAGATTATTGTTCTGAGTCTCTGTTGCAGTTTGACTCTGGACTTTTCTCTTGAAAACAGACAAAGAAGATTTTAAATCTCTTTTCACGTAGGTAAATGGTGCAGTTATCCTTGGCTTCAA